GAGAACAGGTAATTAAATGTTTTTACGTGCGTCTGTGAGAATAAAGCAAGTAACTGTTCTGTGATTTCACAGCATGCCAACGAGTGTTGCGTGTTCTGCCTCTGGCATGCACGGCGTCACTTGAAGCATTAAGAGTTGCTGATGTGTGCTGTATGTGAGAACAGGCAACGGCAATGTCCTGACTTGATTCTCTCAATATTTTCCAAGGTGTTATGACATTAGAAGGTTGTAGTATATAATGAAAAAGAATCAAATAAAACAGCGTACAACTAAGTGTGTTTAAGAGCCTCAACAGAAATACACAGACAAGCCTCAAAAGGATAACGCAGACTTTCACAGTCAAATCTGGTTGAAAATCAAGATGGAAAAACAAATATTTATGAGGAAGTAAATGTGTAACTGGATAATCCATGATGCCAGTTGGCAGATGGCACCCGCATTCGTCAACAGCACCAGACGCAACAACTTTCAGAGGGCCACAGGTAGCAGCCACACACAAGATGGTATTTGGTTTCACTTGCTGATTCTATTTTCTGCCGCTTTGCTTGGATGATCCTGCAAAGGCAGGGTTCACGAGGCACCACAACCCCACTTCTCCTCCTCATGGGAAGGCCAAGTCTGAAGATGTGGCCGGGCGAGAAAAAGGAGAGAGACCGGATGGCACTCAAGTGGGAGCATTTAACCACTTGGAAAGTTAGAGAAAAATACTATGGTAAAAACTCAAGTGGCAAACTGGGCTAAATGGATTTCTCCATTTCTCAGTTTCTCCTACGAATCTCTAAGGACTCTGTGGCAGCACACGGCTGAATATCTGAGTCACTCAGTCTATCATAGCTGAAATGTATCCTGATGTTTCAAATGGCTAGAGCACTTGAGTTGCATGGTTAGATGGAGAAATGTCAGGCCACATAGAGGAGAAGAGAGAAGAGGAGATGAAAAGATTAGAGAGGCACAGGTGTTTGTGTGTGTATATGTGTGCGTATGTGCTTGAATGTGCACGATTATGTACATTAATCACATCCTTCTCATATCAGTAAGTGGTTTTCACCTCCCCTATGTACCCATTATCCACTCTGATTTTCACCAGTCCATCCGTTTGTTTTCTCCTTGGCAGTGGCCTTTCTTTCACTTCATTTACGTCGCGATAGCCGTTCGGTTATAGTGCTGATTAGAAAACAAAAGCTAGATGGAGACAAATGCATAAAATCCCATTTAGGAATATTATGTTTGTGTCAGGTGGCACGGTGGTTAGCACTGTTGCCACACAGCAAGAAGGTCCTGAGTTCAATTCCAACATCAGGCCGGGGTCTTTCTGTGTGGAGTTTGCATGTTCTCCCCATGTTTGCGTGGGTTCCCTCCGGGTACTCCGGCTTCCTCCCACCGTCCAAAGACATGCAGCTTGTGGGGATAGGTTAATTGGAGAATCCAAATTGTCACTAGGTGTGAATGTGCAAATGAATGAGAGTGCGAATGGTTGTCTGTCCCTGTGTGTTGGCCCTGCGACAGACTGGCGACCTGTCCAGGATGTACCCCGCCTCTCGCCCTATGACAGCTGGGATAGGCTCCAGCGCCCCCCGCGACCCTGAAAGGGTTAAGCGAATGGATGGATGGATGTTTGTGTCATTCTAAGGTATAATATAACATTTCTGCATTTAAATGTCAAAAAACTGATTAGATGAACACTGCTCACTTGAATACTAACATGTTTTAAATAACATTCAAACCCCCTCAAAATACACATTTATATTTAATGTAATGGTGCCTCAAATTTTAGTCAATGCTAGTAGTATTATAACAAGTCAGTCACAGAGCTAATGATTAGAAACTACGTAGAAAATAAAACAATGAGCATAGTTTCTGCCTGTGTCCCAATATGTAGATTTTTACTGGCAATAGTGTCATAATTTATCGCTGCATCATTTTACTGCCACGCTGTCTTTTGCTATAAAGACATTTAAATATGTGCACTTAAATTGCCCAATAATGTTATGAAGGGAAAGACCATGTTTAAATTTTCTGTAACGTGTAAAAACCTGAAAAGGACGACAGTCTGTTTGACTTTAAAGGATTCGAAAAGATTCAGAAGAAGAAGAAAAAGAAGACCTGTGCTCTGAGTCCTGGTTCCTAAATGAGAGAAGTGACCCAGAAGTAGCTATGTGGTGACCAAATGAAACAAATACTAAGAAAAGTAGCTTCATTGCTTCCTTTATTACCTCCTTTAGCAGAGGATGCACTGGATCATCTTTAATAGAAGGAGAGGAAACGATGCATCATCTCAATGTTCATGAACACACTTATCAAAATTGAGAAAGTGGTGCAGATCAGCTAAATGTTAAAAGTAAGTACATGTTCTATTGCATACCATAACCTACTGATATACTTTGAGTTTTTAAAAACATCCTTTTAAATGCACTGGTGAACTACGACTGTGTCGCTGCTGTAATAAAATCTGCTGCTTGTCAAAGAGTCGTATGAAGTCTTGCATGTTCTTGCATGAAGAATGCACGCTCTCAAGATAATGAGCTTCATCAAAATGTGTTTAATTTTCTTTAAAACTCAGTTTGCATTGGTAAAGTCCATTGCTGTATTGCTGGGATTGTGATGGATGGATGAAGGGAATTTTATTTGGGTCCTTTCCAAGGAGCTGGAAAGGAGTTACGCTCCTCAGCAGGAAAATAGATTTTATTCCACTTTATTGGCTAAGCAGGTCAAATTAGTGTGATTGCAGGGTGATCTACTAATAGCGTGCTACTCACAAAGATGCAGCCAATTCATTTTGATAATAACTACCATTCTGCCAAGAGCAGCGCAACTTAGCGGCTCAAAAACCAGCAGTCCTGATGAGGAAGCATGTAATCTGCTAACCTAAATAATACAGTCTGAGCACGGGTCTTAAGTATGTGTTTCTCACTGATAACGGCACGGCAATTCAGATTACTGAGAGGAGGCAAAAAGAGAATCAATATGTTTTTGATACAAGGGATAATTCTTCTGATAGAAATTGATGTTGCCTGTTTGTGATGCTGCAGGTTGAGAGTCAGCTGGAGACGTGAGTTGTTATAAAGTATTCCAGTGTATAGACCTGAAATCTGTGTGTAACAGCTTAACTGTGTGATGTGTAGAAGAAGACCAAATATTATCGGTCATCAGATCCAGAGCCCTCCATTTGTTAATGAAGATAGTGTTAAAATAACATATACAGAAATGTGTGCATTGCTTTTCTTTTTGGTACCTTTATTATTCAGGAGCAGAATTATTTAGGGCTTAGCTCTAAACATTCAGGGTGAGGACCGGCCGTAAAAGTCCAGCCTTTGTAATAAAGATGTTTTTCATTAGTTTTCCTCACCTATTTGGCCATCTTCTCAACATTGCAGGATCAACATGGCGCACATTTGGCGTGACATTGTTACTGCAAGTGCGGCCCGATACTCTGTGCACCACATTTTAAATCCTCACCAATTCTCAAGAAAAAGCTGCCAGGAAAAGAAGGTAATATTTCAGATTTTAATACTGGAATTGGGAGCCTGCTGAGTCAGCCACGTGACGGTGATAGTGGACTGAAATTTGCTCTGAAAACTAAGCACTTGCTCTTATAAACTGCAGTATGATCTCTGTTCTATTATAAAACACCTCTAGTAATTGCAATTCATATCTAATAGGAAAAGCACTGAAAGCAAAACACTTTCATCAGGGTCGTGTTTAGTTAGATTAAATCTGTTTGATTCTTGCCGACTTTGATCTGCTAGCAGAATAAATGTTTGGGAAATATCACAAGTACATTGTACTGTTACAGCCCTGAAATAAAAATGTAGTACTCATATAGGGATTGAAGTATTGAAGATTAATGGGAAAGGTTAAAACGGCGAAGCTATGATCCTCAGTTTTTGTGTCTGCTGAGTTTTCACACTGCTTAAACAAATATGTGATTCTTAAACCTATCTCAGGCATCCCCTCGTGTTACAGTATGCACTGTATGGCCTATTTTATAATGAGTACTCTTGATAACTCCGCTCCATCTCTCTAAAAATACAAGCATGGAAAACAACAAAGACAAAAAAAAAAATCCAGGTTATCCAACACAGCTGGTATAAAATATTGAACATATCAAAATAAGACTAAGTAATGGTCAGAGGTCAGTGAAAATGGTGTGCTTAGTGCTTCTGTGTAGATAGATGTACATTTTATATATATTTTATGATAAAAACTAGAAGATAAGATAATACCACAACAGCAGCAGGGTCACACAATTCCAGGCTACAAACACGGGCTGTAATTGAGGATGCAACTAAATGGAGAAGAAATTAGAGCTGGTGGCTAGGCAACAGCAAAAGGAAGGAAGTGCAACGGAATGAACAGCCTGAGCAGAAGCAGTCCGTGAAAATATCGTGCAGAGTCAGTGGTCCATAGAACTGCAGTCGAAGAGAAGTTGTCAAAGTCAAGTGAAGTGCATCATGCACTGTGCATGAAAAGAAACGCATAAACAATGGAAGGGCTATGTGACAGCCAGTGGCACCAGATTCATTTCAGATGTGGGGGACTGGTAAAAAGTCAGCCAATAAAATTGATTTAAAACTATTGCAGCATGTCAGCTGTCCCCTCTCATCCGAAAAATGGTTGGGGGAGAAAGTAACTGTGGATGGTTCTACGTGAGAGAATGCAAAAATCCATGGGACTCCTAAAGTTTTGCTCAGTTTCAATTAGCGTCCATTCATCCATACTCTCCACTTATCCAATTCAGGGTGGCTGGAAGGCGGGGTAGACCCCAGACATGTCACTAATCTGTCACAGGGCTAACACAGACAACCTATTTAGGATCATCAAATAACCTAACCCCACTAACCCCACGTTGTTCTGTGGGAGGAAGCTGGAGTATCCAGGGGGAGCCCACAGAGACGCGAGGAGAACACTGAAACCTGGAACATGCTGGATTTGAACCTAGGACCTTGTTACTGTGAGACAGCATCATGTCCAACGAGTTTGCTCTGCCTTGTTCTTTACTCTTCCTCTCTATTGAGTGTGTGTTACTCACTGATGAAGTTTGTTTGGCCCGTGTAGATCGTGTACTGCAGCTCATAGGAGGTGACGCTGAACTCGTCCTCAGACGTCCAGTGAACAGTGATGGTGTCGTGGGAGGCGGTGCACAGCTCGTCTCTTATAGATGGAGGGTTGGGAGCTACGTGTGGAGGAAACAAGAACACGATCAAATAAAAGAAATGTTAGAAAGCGTCATCAAGTCATTTTGTCTTAATTCTCAGAAATATAATACGTCTGAACAGCTGCATAGAATTTTTAAAACTTGAATTTGACATGAAGTGGACACGAGGTGATTGTCTTTCTAAAGGGGAGTGTTGTGTGTTCGTAACGTCTTTCAGACGTTCCTTTTCATTTATCTGAGGGCATATGAATGTGTTGGCTTTGTGTCAGAATGAAAACCCCGGTCACTTTTGTAAAGATCGTGATCACACCCTTTCTTGGTCTGACCTATTAATATTTAGGCAGCACATTCACCGTGGAGAAGTCTGAATGGCATGGAGCCATATAGCAAACAAACGAACACAACTTCTGAACAGGTGTGAGCCTGTGTTTTGTTTTGGCCAATGAAGACTTTTTAATTAAAGAGAGGGTGTTGACATCCAAAAACAGATGACATATGAGATGAGGGTTCACAAAGATCAAAGTACAAGATAACAAATATATGAGGAGATAGAGCAGAGTTAGAAAAGCTTCCTTTGTGCTTTTTTGTCCAACACAATCTTAGATAACTTGTACTTTGTAACTGTCATAGACAGCATGAGCATTTGTTGAGTTAATCTGCTGCTCCTTAAGGCCAGATGACTTTTCTGTCTGAAAGGGAAACAGCTGAGGTGCCACGAAAAGCAATAAAGTCAGAGGTTGAAGTTTTGAAAGAACCATAAAATAACATTACTCTCTTCCCTCGGGAAAAGATAGGTTTGTGTATTTTGGTTTCAGTCGCCGTCCAAATGTGAAAATCAAAGTCTGATAACTCGCATTTGTGAATTACAGAATGTCAAACAGGACAAACGTGTGTTTTTATCCTGTCTTCCTCCCCTCACCCCTAACCAGTCACGCCAGATCGCTGCCCCTACCTGAGCGTGGCTCTGCAGGAGGTTTCTTCCTGTTAAAAGGGAGTTTTTCCTTCCTACTTTCACCGAAGCACTTGCTTATAGGGAGGGTCATGTGATTGTCTGGGTGTTCGCTGTTTTCTTTGTATTGCATTTCTTTGTAGGGTCTTTACCTTACAATGTAAAGTACCTTGAGGTGACTGCTGCTTTGATTTGGAACTATATAAATAAAATTGAATTGAATATGGCAGCAAAGTTGTGTTTTCCATGTCTGAAAAGGGCTTATGTGACAAGGCTGGATAGTTTTCTTAGCTTATAGAGAACAGTTTTGTTCTTTGAAACAGTGAATCAAAAAAAAACAAACCAAAAACAAACCAAGACAGCAGCAGGACGACTGTTAACATATCTACTGCAGAGTTGACAGGATGTGAATTTACCTGTTAGGTAATCTAGTCCTTCCAGAATCTTCTTCTCTCGGGAGAAGTCAAGAGCAAAGTTGTCAAACGCCTCGTTCAAGTTGACATCTGGGATGAGCACCTGCGAGGAAGCCGTGGCCATTGCAACCCTTTTGAGTTGTCAGGACACGGGGGCGAGCAAAGTAAATGGTAGAGAAGGAGGGATGAGAGGTCCGATGAGGTGACGAGGAAAAGAGGGATGGAGATGTGATGAAGAGATGGAAAAATAAGAGCAGAGAAGTGAGGTGAGATGGCAAGAGGAGAGAGGTGGTAGATATTATTAGTGACACGGAAAAGGGCAAGAGAGGGGAAAAAATTTAAAAGAATACAAACATGAAATTCATGGTCTCATCTCTGCCTCGGTGTTGTCAAAACACACTCAAACCAGACATGCACTGACAGACTTATTCTACAGTGTCTACAGCTTTGTGGAAACTTGTGCCTACTTCTGCTTTGAGCATCAGTGAGCTGTCTGTGGCAGGAGCCAGCCAGAACCACAGTGCTGGCAGGGTTACACAGCAGTGCAGAGTGGAGCACTAGTCCTTAAGACTTCAGTTCCTCAGTAAAGAGAAACCAGTCAGTCAATAAAGTGCACGGCCAGGTGGTTGAAAGAAAAGTGGAGCCGAGGCCAAATAAAAGATGGTGTGCTAGCCGTGGCTTTTGCAAAGGTCTTTGTGAAAGAGACAGAGCAAAATATCTACAGGAGGAGGACGACGAAGGAATGAGGGCATTACAGAAGTGCGAGGGTTGAAAGGAAAACTGCAGAGCTGGCCCTTAAATGATAGATGATTTTCAACAGAGGCCTGACATTGATCGCACGAGTCAAAGACTTTTTATAAAATGCTGATTTCACCAGCAGCCCCTTCAAGTGGATTTCACAGAGGTAAAAATCGAAAACTCATTGTAGGGCAGAGGTTTTGATTTAAAGAGTCAAAGACTCATTGCCAAATACTCTGACAACTATCATGCAGCCTGCTACAATGACACAACTCCACACGGAAAAAGCAAGACAAAAACCCCCAGTCAGGATGACTTGTCGAAAGCCTCCCACTTGTCTGGACTATTAATAGCTATAATGAAGTGAAATTAGCATATTGTTGCAACAGGAAGGTGGTATAAGTCGGTGCGCCGCTCCACCTACCTTTCGGCGACATTTCTGGCAGTCTGAAGGAAGCGGGCGTGGTCGTTCTCCTTCAAGCTCTGCTCAGCCTGTGTGATCAGGGCACTGGAGCGCTCCAAACACTGGCGACAATTTGCAATCTGCTGAGCCAACTTGCGCAGTTTCATCACCTGGAACAAACGAAGCACACGTTGCCACGTTACGACACACGCGGTTCGTATTCATTTGCACACCGCGAGCCTTGAAGGAATACGTCGCCCTTCTCGATAACTCGACTTTTAAATTTTTCATTTAGCTAAGAGAACGCAGACGACATTGCCAGCACCTGGTCTAGTAAAAGATTCACAAATGCCACCGCGACATTCTTTTACTATGCGGGAATCTTGACACGTACTCTATGTCTCTAATCCCCATCTCCAAAACTTAGACAAAAGTAGTTCACTGGTGTTATTGATCTTCTATGTTCATCTTCTGGGACTGAAAATAACTTTCTGTTTGCTCAGGGCAACTTGTGTGCCTTCCACTGCAAAAATTCAGGAAAAAAGGATCTCAAAACTCTCTCTACATCCAAAAAAAAAAAGAAAAAAAAAAGAGAAAAAGAGCCCTCCTCTGCACTCCAATAATTTCAGTTTGATGGATTTCTTTAATTCATTTTGACAGTAACTAAAAAAAGCCAATTGTGCTTTGCTTCCCACATCGGCACACATTATTGACACAAAGACAGCACTCTCTCAGGTGATTTTTGCTAGGTGAACTTGCCGTATTGCAGAGTTAACTGAAGTTTCATAACCAAAGTCAAAACAGACGCAGATATTCAAACACATACGACCGAGCGTGATCAAATATTATATCCACAGAAGAATCTGACCGTGCAGAAGCAATTAGCAGATGACATTAGAGTTTATGATTAAGATGCACCAACAGGAAAAAGGAGAAAAAGGAAGCAGAGGGCCTGAGTTTAAATGAGCCCATTGGATCTATTCTCACATTGACCTTAATATCACGTTGCACAATCAAAGGGCAGATAGTTCTAGGTCACTGGATGAGGGGCACCAGTCTGTGCATACATATCCATGTTTAAAAACTGTGAAATGAGGCCTGGCAGGAAATGGATGAGACACTACTGGCTGTAAAAGTCACAGTTCTTTCCCTCCTACCTTACCAAACAAAAGAGACATCGAGCTCGTCTTTTGAGCACCTCGTAAGCGCATCTACTGTGCATTCACGTGGTGCGCATGATTCAAATGTAGCAGCGCAGACAAACAGGAAACTGCTGATTTTGAACCGCATAATAATTTGCTTCATTTTCATCACAAAGCATCATGCTGTGCGAATCAAGTCAGGTCACGTTGTCAGGTCAGGATTCTGACACAAGCACAATTTGTAAAGTCCTTTTCACTGTAATTTGTTAGCGTGTGTGCTTTAATGTAATTTCCCACCGAGCAAAAGGAAAGCCACGATGAGCAAATTTGAAATGAAAGTAATCTGTTTATCTTTATTGCCGCTCATATCCTGATCCTGGAAATGTAGTTTGATGTAAAAAAAACAAAACAAAACAAAACAAAGGGTCTTTGTGAGCGCTGAGACTGCCAGCAAGAGGCAACTGTAGAATTCAATATGGGCTTTAGCGTGGAGTGCTGTTAAATGATTAAATAAATCATCTGTGAATCTAAGGGCAAAGAATGAAGTTAAGTCTCTTAATGCACTGAACGCATCATAATTTCAGGCTAAGGCTAATTTGAATCTCTAACACTAAACAAAACTAAAAAGTTCACATGGTTAAAAGGTCACCATCAAAAGTTTTCACGGAATCTAATGTCCACTTTCCTTCCCGCTGCTGCAAAAGCTGCTGCTGCTGCTTTAGAAGTCTCGTTAAGCTGGAGTCTTAATGGAGTTTTCAACTGACATCTCAGCTGCACTTGCACTAAGTCCGCCATAATCTCTTGTCACTAAAAATGACATTTGAGCAGGTTGTTGACTGCAAAGAGAGGAGAAGCGAGAGGAGGTTTAAAGGATGAATTGTTATTTGGCAACATAGGCCGCAAACAACAATTTTAGAGATGATTACTTCTCTCCTGCAAAATAATGGACAATATGGCACGGTCTGAGTGTGTGTTCGTGTGTGTGTCTCTTACTTTGTGCCAAGCCTACAGTTCGTGATTTAAAGCTGAAATTGAACCTTCTAATATAATTTAAATACTTATGAGGTGATGCTACAATATTTAAAGTTGGTTTTTTTTATCATTTTACTGAGTCATAAAACAAAAACAAAACTTGAGGCTGAATTTTCTTAAAGTGCAATCATAGATATGAAAACAAAGCGATGTGTTATTAATGGCTTATAAACATAATACGTTTGCTCTCACTCCAGTTGATTGAAAAACATATTTTTGTAGCAGTGACATAATGGTTAAATTACTAAATAGTCTTCTGTAGGTAATTTTGCAGCTACAGGTATAATCCCCTGGTGGCCATTAAAACAAATGCATCAGTCTTTCATACTGTTTATCATTGAAAGTAGATGAAACCAGGATATGACTGCATACAAAAAGACAGAATCTCAACAACAGATAAATCCAGCTGATGCTGTGGGAATATATGCAACCTGTAAGTCATGGTAGCATGAAGTGCTATTTTACAAGTAATAACCAGCCATCAGTCACTAGATTTTGGATGTGGATCCTTAAAGTCTTACAGCCTTGATTTGCTTTTAAAGAAATAGAATAAACAAAACCACAGCACTGAAAACAAGCCAAAGCCAAAGGCTTTGTATGGCCGACCATCCATCCTGACCTGGCTCTGAGAGACAAATATTATATTTGCACATTAACAAGAGGCACTTGTCACATAAACACAGAGAAAGGATGTTTAAGTGGTGCCAACAACAGTAATGCTGTTGTTTTTATGATGAGTCCCTACCAGGCATAAGCTTTTAAAATGAAGTTCAAATGACCCATGAGATTGTTTAAAAAAAATTGTGTTAGAAAAAAGCTAGTATGTAACACTAAAAGAGTTTTGCATTGTTAATCCTTAGAGTTTGAACAGTTTTCAAGAAAAGATAACGGAAAAGCGGCAGAAGAGATGCTTGGAAGACAGGAAGTCATATGACAAAAACACACAAACAGAAACCCGGCCGTGGGAATAGTCTGGTTTTCTTTTTTTGTTTTTTTTTGTTATGTGCGTGTGTGTGAGCTGGGAGAGATTAAGTATGACTGCCGAGTCTCCTCTGCAAGATACAGACCTCATTATGAAGAAGTAAGAGAGAGAATGGGAGCACCTTGCTCACCATGATGAAGCCTGTATAATCCGGTTATTCTGTTGCAGAGTCACCTCTGAACACTTTCCTTTATGAGACTGTCCTCAACAGGAAGCCTTCTCAGTACTTTGCTCCTAAAATGTATAATATGAGCCGTGTTTTTGAAGCAATGTTGCTGTGTAAAATATCAATATTCATCTTATCCTTTGCTCTCTTCTACACATTTGAACTAGTCGAGGCGCATTTGATTCATCTTCCTTGACCTTTCAAAGTGATGCATACGGGCTTCCTACATTTGACCGCTGTACCGTCAACTGGAGAGCCTTTTACAGGCACAGACTCTCAGGAGAACAAACCTTGCTCTTTGTCTGCATTCATTGTCGACACACTCCTCTGTCTCACACACACACGCAAACCTATTTTAGTCTTTGTGTTAACTGTTGGGAAATTTCTCTATGAAGCTCCTCTGCCACCTTGGATCCTTCACAAGCACTTAAAATTTCACCGCTGGAAGGGTTATTCATGGTCAGAGACAGGACAATGACCCATATACACATGGGCATGAGCGCACACACACACACACACACACAGAGCCAAATGTGTATCTGTCTGTGCAGTTAGTTGTGGACTTTCTAAAACAGCAGCAGGAGATTCAGAACAGTCTTTCCTGCTATTTTAAATTCTCTCCTCACACATTCATGTTGACCTCCTAAATATGAGGAGAGACTGTTATCGCTCTCTTTTTTTTATCCTCCGTGTTTTTCATTTCTCGTAAAGCCTGCATGTGGTGTATATTTGGGTAAACAAGCAGACAACCACACAAGTAGCCTTACAAATATATTCTGTCCACGGCATCGCTGCTTTCATATTCATTCGCTTCTGCAAAGCGATGGTGGGTCGGGCTTATTGCCTTACTTTAGATGGCAAGGCGACACAAGTGTTTGAAATATGAACTGCTGAAAACTGAATGAAACTAGGTAATATGAATTCACAGAACCCATCATCTCTCTCTTCTAAGTGCCAGTAATCACTGTTTTTGTTTATGCACGCTGAATAAAAATGCATCTAATCTTGGACTGATTCAGTTAATGACACACGCAGAAGATCGTCCATCTATAACTCGTTTTGGTTGTAGGGTACATTTAGAGATACACTGCCTGGGGTTCCTTAACAACTCCCAGCAACATCATTTACAACAAAAGATTTTGTTTAGTTTTTTTTTTAGGAAAATATACATTCTGCCTGCCTCAGCAGACATTCAGTTAATTAACTGTAGATCTTATCTCAGGAGTTTAAACAATATTCAGCTTTACACTCAACAGTAACTAAAAATACAACATCTGGGTGATAATCTTGCTCTGACTGATTAAATCTATTGGGACCTATTGTGGTCATTTACATTTCTTTTCAATTCTTGGACTCTGCAACTGTGGCTATGCATGATTCACAGTTCAAAATAATCCATATTTATCTTAAGTTATCTTATACTAGGCCTTGGTGCAGCCCTTCAGTTCCTCGAGTGTCTCCCTTTAGTGTCACAAGCCCTTTAAACTCTTATGATTTCCTGTGACTGTGTGCAGTGAACTTGCAGTCTCGTTAACTCTGAAGTGAAGAGTCAGGGTTAGCTTATTAAATACATTTTGGAAAGCCAGAAATCTGTTGCTGTCTACATATACTGAAATTCATATTAACTACTTACACTCGTAGTCCAGTCAGAACCTCATAGATGCAAAACTTATATTGAAAATTTACTCTAAATAAGTGAATATTGTAGTTCTTTCAGGACAGCAGTTAAACTGCAAAATGGGATAGATGCTCAGGAATCTTGTTATTATATATAACCAGATTACAGTCACTTGGCAACCAGTTGAGTCAAGTTCCCTATCGTAAAGAGACACATCCCAGGATGAGTTACGCTCATTGGCACTGACTGACTCAGACTGATTACAATATCATGGCAACCTGTCTGACAACCTCTCGATTATTTGCAAACCTTGACCAATCTAAGAGTAACTGCAGTCAGTCTAAGTTGGGCCGTGAGCGTTTGGAGGCAGGTTGCCTTTCTTGAGGTGACCTGGGCAATTGCTTTGTGATGAAACGTGGTCGCCAAGTGATTGAAGGTATTGCACGCTCATCCGCTGGTGACTGCAACTACTTGCATTCAGGAAAAAAAAATCCAATAGTTGATTATGTCCATTTGGCCATGCCTAGAAATTCTGTCCATAAAAATTATGAACAGAATCGGTGACAAAGGGCAGCCCTGGCGTAGCCCATCACCCACCAGGATCGAGTCCGACTTATTGCCGGCTGTACGGACCAAGCTCTTGCAACGGTCGTAGAAGGACTGAATGGCCCGAAGCATGTTCATCTGGATTTAGCATTTTCAGTGGGAGAAATGTTTCGCCACTCATCCAAGTGACTTCCTTCCTTCATGACTTCTTCAGATAAGTGAAGAAGTCATTTGGATGAGTGACTTTTTATTTATTTTTTATTAACTTAAAGGGAACCATAGTAGGTTCCCTGTAAGTTAATAAAATGCCAATATTGTTGTCTGTTAGCTTTGTTTTTTTGTGTCTTAAAGGTAAAAAAAAAAAACAGTCAGTGCCACCTTTGTGATTGTACCTGAATTTGAATATTTCAGACTGCACTTAAAAGACGCTTAAAATTTTTTTTGTTGAATATAATACTTTACCTTGGATTCTTTGATCTTCACGGCGATGACCTGTTTTCTCTGGCGGATGATCTCCACCAGCTCATCACACTCCTCTACCAGCTTAGCTTCATGCATGGCTGTGTTCACCTGAAGAGAAGCGAACACACAACTTAAGAAACCCTCACAGCCTCACTTTAAAGTCAACCTGTATATCCACTGACTCGCTCAGGTTCAATGTATCTTATATTTTGCTTTTGGTGTCTGATATCAAAAATGTGTCTGCACATTTTTTTTTCTTCCTCGTTCACACGCTCTCTTTGGGAACTTTGTAAGACTTTCAGAGTGGCAGGAAGGATCATTTGCATTATCGCATACAGAGCACGTCCTATAGTTTTCCATTTCATTATAATTCTGCACACCAGGAAAAGTGCCTTAAGC